AAAAAATCACCAAAAATTAACAAAGACTCAGAACAAAACCAAATTACATTTGCACATGTTTCAGAAGGTGCACTACCGAATCCAAGCATTTAAAAGAGGTTGCAAACATTTTAAGACACTTTTAAATGAGCAAAAACGGACATCGTTAAGTGAAATTCCCCCATAGAGAACATCGTTAAACGATGGGGAAATTTCCTCAAAGAAACCCATTGCAAAGCGAATACATCATTAAATGAAGCAATCGCTAAGCGAGGCACCACTGTATATGGATCAAAATCCCAAGTCATAGGGATATGTGAAATGTTAAATGCTACTATGATGGCGAAAGACAAAACCCTCTTGTTTTTAGGATGTAGCTTAAGCAACCTACTTACCATTAATGGATGTAGGAATCTGAGCTGTCATGATCTTGGGTTTTTCTTGCTACCTCTTAGCCATTAGCAGGAGGACAATATTGTTCCATTAATAATGCAACAAGGGCAGAACGCAGATTGGTTCCTGCAAAGCAAAAGGATCCCTTTCAGCTTACAGGACTTACAAACAGCATAGGGCTTCAGACCTCTACTGAAGCAGCCAAATTCAGGAGCAGGGTTATCAGATACATGACACAGTCCTGAAACAGACTGTCTTTTCTTTAAGGAAATTATCATACAATTATGAGACAAGACATGCTGGAACAGTAAAATATGAACAACCTAAAACATGAGCAAATACTACACTCTACAAGGGCAGAATATAGCTCAGCTCTGGCAAAAGATTCCCTTCAGCTTACAAATAAGGATGTGCACTAGAACCAAAATTCACATTCAGATTCAGAATTCAGTATTTTAAAAATTCCAGATATCCAGAATGCCATTACACTCAATATGAATACTGCTTCTTTAAAAAAAACTAAACACACACACACAGACACAGACACACACGCACAGACACAGACACAGACACAGACACACACACACGGGGAAACCATTTTAAAGGATTCTCCTGTGTCCTTTGACACCTTCTTTATGACTGTGCCAACCAAAAACAATGCATACCAGCAGCCAGAAGTGCCTAAGTGTTAGAAAATGACTGTAACGGGCACTGAACATATCCTCTTGAATGTTGTGAGTGATGTAGCTCCCCTCCATCACAGCCACATTCAACAGGGTCAACTTGGGTGTGGCCCTATACCTGATGCATCTACTTCCCACCAGTATCCTGCCAGGAAGTGATAGGCATATTTTGCACTCTAGCTGCTCCAGATGTCAGTTGTCAAATATACCACTGTGCCCAGGCCAACTGCTGCTGTACCAGTTGCTTGACACTCCAATATAAATCTGACACCACCCTGAAGCTGAGGGTTTTTATAGAATGGCAATTGGTAATGGGGTGCCAGTTCTGCCACAAACCTAGGGAAACCAGTGTTGTCTACCAAAGAGAATGGCTAATCATCCATCATCCCCTAGATGATGAATAATCCTGTTATTTTTACATTTGCAAAAGGCCTTTCCTGCACCCCTCCAAGCAATTCCAAAGTAGCCTGGAACTTTTCTTGAGATGTGGGTCTGGCATTTGCTGCCTCCCACCTTTTGCTATTTGTGTATCTACCTCCCTACTACCATATCTCTGAATACTCACTTAATTGGCTTAATAACGCAGAGACTGTCCACCTTCTCATCTCACAAGACAGTAGATAATTATTGAAACAATATTTTGTAGTTTATTTATGTGTTTATTTAAATACACAAATGTTTTAAGCAGGCCAAGTGAGGGACAGGCCCGACCTCAAGAGCTAGCTCTTGGCTCCATAAATAACCCAAACAGTTCAGCTCTTAAAGAGCTGGAGGCTGATATGTCTCCTTGCCAACATTTGGGTCTGAGGAACAACAAGTGAAGGGGAAGGAAAGGGAGAAGGAGGAGGGAGAAGGGAAACAGGGGGAGGGAGAAACATCTAGGCAGTCCTATTGTTTAAAGTGAAGATACTGTATATAGATATAATATTCGTTAATACTTTGTATGTGAATAAGAGGGAGCAAAGCGAATCAAGATAAGGATAATAATGTTGGATAATTTAAATATAATCTCATACAATACGAATGGTCTGGCTCATCAGCTAAACACTATAAAATTATGAAAATTATTCACAGTTTTAGAGCAGATGTGGGATTACTGCAGGAAACATCAGAAAAAGCAAGGGCAAGATATGATGAAACACCCGTTTTTAGGAGATCAATATACAGTGGTGCCTCGACTTACAAACGCCCCTACCTACAAACATTTCGACTTACCAACAGCTCCGGTTGCAAAATTTTGCTTCGATTTGTGACCGGAGCTTCGACTTATGAACAGAAAAAACCGCAGGGAAGGCGGGGAAAGCAGGAAATGTGAACTTTCAGTTAACTGTTGGCCAGTGAAGAGGCTGCTTGTCTGCTACCTCACTCACCCCAGTGGTTAGAGAGTATGGATACGGAGAGAGACTTCAGTCTGCCTGGTACTGTACTGTATGAACTGTATTTTTTGGCTTTTTTATTTTTGGATTTGGGCTAGGTGGGGGTTTCTGCAAGGGTCTGTGCCGGCTGGTGTGCTCTAAAATGGATTTTAGTCTTTTGGTTTTAAAATCAGAATTTTTTTTGCAAGGGTCTGTGCTGGCTGGTGTGCTCTAAAATGGAGTTTAGACTCATGTCTCCCCCCATTGTCTTCTCTCTATCTCTATGCTCCCTCCCGCATGCTGAGTGGGTCTGTTTGCTGGAATAATGGTTGCTGGATTCTGTGGCTCCTAGGGTTTGTGTACTGTGATGTGTTGAACAGTACTCATGGTTTGAAAGAAATGGTTTAAAATGTGCTTTTTAAAAGTAGCTTGGTTTGGTTTAAAATGTGTTGGTGTAAAATGTGTGGATCTAAAATGTGTGGGTTTAAAATGTGTTTTAGACTCCAAACTGTCTCCCCCCCCCCATTGTCTTCTCTCTATCTCTGTCTTTCTTTTTGTGCTTAAAAGCACAAACTTTTGTCTGAGGGGTCTGTGTACTCCAGTGATGACCTTCTTTCTTTCCTCTTTTCTGCACTGTTCCCTCGCTCCCTCCTTTCCTGCCCTTTTTTTAACTTAAGTCATCTTAGGTTGAAAAAAAATCTCCCCCTAGTAGTAGAGGATGGATTAACCGGAGATACCAGAAGCCAGTCATCCAAATATGGGAAGAGGTGGAGATATGCTGCTACAGGAGCAAGACGTTTTGTAATGACTCATGGTGCAGATGACAAACCGAATGATAGGGTTTTGAATTTTTATGTCGTTGCCTGGAAAATGAACCTGAGGAATCTGTGATGATATCCGGACATATGTTTATGTGAAAGTAGGCGTCCTTTAAATCTATGACTGTGAGCCAATCGCCCTGTTAGAGTAGCTGAACGGTACTGTCCAAGGTGACCATAAGAAAACACTGTGGGGTGAGGTAAGAGTTGAGGTGGCGGAGATCTAAGATGGGTCGTAGTCCGCCAATCCTTCTTTGGGACTGTAAAATATCGGGAGTAGAACCCGAGAGCAACATCTGCCTGTTCTAGAGTGATGGCATCTTTCTGCAGTAGGGAGCGCATCTCCTCTTCCAAGGTGGCAGAAGGGATAGTGTTCTTGAAGAGCCTGGTTGGTGGGAAACAAACAAATCCAATTGCATAGCCTACGTCAATGATGGTGAGGACCCAGGTGTCTGAAGTGATGTGTCACCATACATGGAGAAAGGGCGCTAGTCGTGTGTGGTATCTTGAAATGGTGGAAGGGGATAGACGCTTAGAGTTGGGCAGTCAAAGATTGTGCTTTGTCTTCCTATCAGGTCTACGGACAGACTGACGTGGGCATTGCCTGCTAGTCTACTGGTATTGGAAGTGTGCGGTCACTGATGATCCACCTGAGGTCTATAATGTTGGTAAGTATAGGGGTGATGCCAAAAATTCCATGGGTGATATTGCTGAGTATTTTATGATCTTACTGTTCCCAGTTTTTAGAAGGTTATCCAGAATTTCATCAGTCTTCTTGTCAAAGAGACTGAGACCATCAAAAGGTAGGTCTTCAATTCTAAACCATTCATCATCAGATATACCAGCAGATCTCAGCCATGCATCACAATGCAGCACTATGGCTATGGCCACTTGCTTAGAAGCCGCATCCACCATGTGGAATGCTGCTATTCTCTCCTGTTGAGCAAGGACCATGGCCTCCTGTTGGAAGGAGAGGCCCTGAGAACATAGATCCTCCGAAGCAGCCTGGAGGATAGGTAGTGCTTTGTTCCAAAGGTAGCAATGGTAGGCTCCCACAGCAGCCATATAATTAGCTACCTGAAGGACAAAAGAGGCAAAAGAATAGACTCGACAGCCTAAAACATCCAATTCCCTCCCTTCACAACTTGCTCAAGTGCAAGGTCCATGAGTTTAGCGATCCAGAGAATCAAGTGGGTGAATGATGAGAAGTCCTCCAAAGGAGAGGGAGGATGGTTTTCAGTGACATCAGAGTCTGGCGTAGGAATATTTGGTGGAGAACCTCTGGTAGTTTTGCCGTCAGAATCATCGGTGACATTATCAAAATGGACGGGGAGTTGATTGGGAGATGGAGAGAGATCTTGCCTAGCCAAGACAGATGGAAGACTAGAAGGTTCCTCTGGCAGAAATGGTCATAATTAACTTTGGGTTCATAAAAAGTCAAACGATCGTAAAGCTGAACCTTTTTAAAACAGGAATACTGGTATGATGGTTCTGGAGCCATAGGAGCACAGCATAGAGTGTGAGGTCAGTGACCCTTCATATTGCCATGAGGTTCGAGATGGTGCGTTTTATGGATTGTCTTTTGAGGAGGATTATGCTTTACAGAATCTGATACTGATGTATGGTCTCAAACGGAGCCAACATGGGATTAAGGGCTCGCCTGCACCAAATGCATTTCTGCAGTGACCTCAGCCGAGGTATTTCCCCAGTCAGGAAATTGACTGAATTGCGGGGAGGGAGTGGCATCAGGCAAAGGGAGAGGAACATCCTCATCCTCAGATGACAAATCAAGGCACGCTGCCTCCTGCTGAGACTCCTCCGGATGGAGGTGGAGCTGATTTATCCACAGAGTACTGGGCCTTGTAAGAAAGAGATGATTTCTTTTTCTTTTTAGGGATGTTGGTCAGTACCAATGTCGATTTCAGTGTTGAGACAGCCATGAGTGTCATGAGTTCAGCTGAAGATCTGGCATCTGAGGGGTTAATTTCAGCTGAGGAAAATGCACGGACAGCTGAATCATCACCAGATTCTCCTCTCCCAGTAGCCAGAGTGAGGGACAAGCTTTGGCAAAGACTAATGACATGAAGATCCGAAGCTCGCATGAATGTTTCCCATAGGAACATTGGGTCAACCAGTCCTGACTTTTAACAGGATAGAAGGCCTCTAGGAGTTTGATGGTTGCTGCTCCTATATAATTTGTACCTCGAAAGCTTGGAAATCTGTGGAAGCAACAAGTCCATTCTCTGGCTCGCGTCCACATTCCTGCTATC